TTGTAGATCAGATACACAAACGAGCTAGGCTACTATCTTGTAGATCAGATACACATAAGAGCTAGGCTACTGTCTTGTAGATCAGATACACATAAGAGCTACTAGTAGGCTAGGCTGGTGAGCAAATGTGTTCAAGCTGTTGAGCAAAAACACACTTTGCCTTTATTATGTGCTAGATTATTTCTGACCATAGATAAAGCACTTTATCTGCGCAGTGCACACACGCTACTAATGAAAGACTTTCATATACCAGTGATAAATAAATGAATACTATCAACCCATTTAAATAATCAGTTTTTAAAATTACTGCCCGCCCGGCACGGGCAACGATTCAGTCGGCCTGGTGAAAATCTCAAGTTACTAGCCCTAGCCCAGGTAGATTTTTTGAGAAAATGAATAAAAAATCACATAATGTCTATGAATGTATCATTGTTTTCAAAATTATGAACCTATAGAGGTCTATTGCGACTGTTTTGACACATGCACAGGTATAAACAACAACAACCATCAACGATGCATGATTTTAGTGAACTCGCACACTATGTGTGATTCTAATGCTTACAATATGCAAGAGTTCCAGATGACTCAACCTTTTCAGAGCTGGAGTTGACATATCATTCTTCTCTGTGTTTTTACTCTATATTTTGAGTCAGTTTTTAGGAATAGTTTCCAGCAAAGAAGCAAAAATTAAAATGCGACTCCAAAGAGACAAATTGGGCGTATGATAAAACAAAAAGAATATGGAAAAATGTCCCATCATTGAATACTGTACCAGATTCTGGATCAAATTGAAGACCTCTATCTTGACCATGCTTGTGTACTTAATACTTTTGATTCTTTGAAGACATTATGTGAAGTCATCAATGTGTGTAATGTTGTGGGTGTCATTAAAGCAGGGGAGTCGTCACCTGTTCATAGATGGCCATAGCGTTTCATTGTTTACAAACAAGCGTCTACCCATGAGCCATTGTGTTTTAGCATGTATTGTTATCGTCGCTTGGCACTCAATTCCCGCGCGTGCGCACGTGACAACCCTCCCGCTTTAAATATCACAAATCATTACAAATTTGCATGAGAATGTTACAAATGTATATATTTAATGGTCAATAATTTTTTTTATTTGCTTAATAGTGCACCAATAATTATGCTTGAATTGTCAGTATTTCTACATTTGTACTGTTGCATGAAGCATAATTACCGGTATTAATTTCTATATTCCTTTTGTTACAGTTTGATTTCACTGAAATATTCATTCATCAGTGTATCCACACCATAGAATACTGTCTTGGTTGTATCTCAAACACTGCTTCATATCTACGGTTGTGGGCTTTAAGTCTTGCCCATGCTGGTAAGTTTAGTGTATCCACAAGATAGAATACTATCTGAATCCTAAAACACTGCATTTTCTTACAGGATCTATCCTTGGGGTCAAATGTACGTGCAGCAATGACAAAATGATAATTTGGCAGAATCATAGCACTTGCTGTTCAGTGAATGACATTTGTTCAATAATTTAATGTCCGACCAGAATTGAAATTGACAATCATGACTTGAAACATTTTTAAATTAATTAAATTAATCTTCTTTTTTTTTTATGGTAATTGGCAGAATTATCATTGGTTTTGTGGGAGATGGTGTTGCGTATTGGTCTACAAGTTGAGGGATATGTAGGTGCTTTAGTGTTGTGGTTTGTGTTTGCATGCTGGGCTGTGCTGACTGTTGCTATATTGCTGTTGATGGAAGGTCTTTCTGCTTTCCTGCATGCCCTGCGTTTACATTGGTAAGTATTCATCTCCATATGGCAATTTAAGTTTTGCATACATTCTAAAATAAGTGTATTGTTTTCTTTGCCATGCATAATGTATTTATTACACTTTACACTAAACAGTAATTATGAGTTATAACTCTCCAGGTCACTAATAATTGCATTATTATTTCATTCACACAGGGTTGAATTCCAGAATAAATTCTATGTTGGTAATGGATATCTTTTCATGCCATTTTCTTTTACAACTATCTTGGATGTGAAAGAAGAATAAATATTAATATTCTAAAACAGTGGCAGCGGCATAGGAGTGTCGCCCCCTCGAAAATCAAACTGAAACCTCTTGTGTCTGGAAAACTTGTCCCTCAAAATGCAGGAAATGCATTTCAGAGAGTCTAGATTCCAACATTTTTAAGGGGAAGTATGCCCCTGGACCCCCCTAGTAAGCTTGCACCTTTGGGGTGAGTGGTGATGAGCAGATCTCGCCCCTCCATGCAATTTCGTGCCACTGCCTCTGTAAAATAAAGTAGTAGATAATTGTATAGGTGTGGGTACAGTACTATTATTACTTCTTATAGTGTATATTCAAACATAGATCTACTGTCACTGTTACTGTCACTGGATATTAAACTGAAATAATTACTGTAATGAAAATAATGTGAGGATACTAGTCAGGGCTTCTGTATTCTGAAGGGCTCTCTATTCCAAGACAATTTTAAATTTAGTTTGACAACATGTGCTTATGTAAGGTGTTAATATCATTGAGAAGTAAATACACGTACAATGCATTTTGAAAGGCAGTTAATTAGGACATACAAAGCAATGGTCATTGGGAATTTTGGGTCCTGTAGTCATTACTGTATATGTGCATGCAGTGTTTCATTGTTATGTATGTTGTAATTTTTATATTAGTCAATGGCAGTAGTTTAAATGTTGTATGGTACATATCGCTGCATTAAAGTGCAGTACTACAAGCATCCCACCACATTTTGTTGCATATGGGTCACATATAAGTATCTAATATTTTACATACATTATTGGGAAATGACTGTATTTATCAATTTACTATGTACATTGAATAACTCATAACATATATACATGTAACAGGATTAATGTAACCATTCAACCACAAAGTACTGATTTCAATGCAAGACTACATATGGATTCAAATTCACCGCATGAAAATGACAGCACATATATGTACACAATAATATTTATTTTTATTGTCCTAATGTATAGATGTATACATTACAATTTACATCTCTTTTGTAAACCCCCCCCCCCCGAAATTCATGACATTATGTAAAATATGCTGAACTATTTTGATGATGTAATCACATACTAGCTATTTAATTTTCTTCTACTTTTTTGATTCCCAAATGGTATGAATTGTCTGCCAAGTCTGTTTACTTTGGACATGAATTGTTGCGGACAACTAGTTTATTTGTAAGTTAATATATCACAACTGATTGTGAACAATTTGTGTTATTGAAAAATTATATTTAAAATGTGTATATTATTGTAATCTTGTACAGTACATTGGTGATACTCACAACAGGTTTATAATAATAATAATAATAAGTTTATTGACATTATTCATTTTGAATAGAACATAGTCAAATACTATTCTAAGATAGGGAATTTGTTTCACCTGTATAGTTAGTTCATTGTCTTTCTAACTAGAATGTTATTTAACTGCTACTTCAAGATTATTATACCAGAACTGTGGTGATTTTATCTTCAAATTAATGTGCCACAAGTTAAGACATTGTTGAAGCTAACTTCACTAAAATGGCATGCAGCTTTTCCAGGGTGTTTTATAGTAGTTTCACTATGTCATGTATTATAGTTTCTGTGCACTCAAATGCACCAGACGGATATTTAGGGGTCTCTGTGAAGGTGTTAGTGATTGGAAAATGTGTGAGGGTTTGTTTTCCCTGTGAATTATTGTCAATCATCTGACATGTGCAATGTTAAGTTTCTAATGTAATAAATATTAAAGTGGCAATGGCTGTAACTGTCTACATGTATCTTATTTTCTGATTTTTATTTGTAATAAAACTATTCCTGTGTCGATTTGTTGTGACCATCGCTGAAATGTGGACTCTGAAAGTATAGCGTATACACTATATACAACATTGTACATTAAATCCCTTGCAAGTGAAAAAATAGCCATGGTGTTGCGTCCATAGACTGTAAAATATTATAATTTCATTAATTTTAATTTTTTGTTTTGTATGGAATTTATTTTCACTGATTTTTGACAATTAAGACAGTTAAAAAGACAATTTACATTGCTGGTGATTAAACGTCATAATGACAGCAGTCATTCCAAAATGGACAGTAAGACTGTAGTTTCCACTACTCCTGTAACTGATGGTAGCAAAATAAGTGACTACCTATCTTTCTTGATGCAATACCACTGGAGACTCCCCTTGAGATAGCACTCTTCTAATACCACGCTGGAAGCCTCTCTGGCAATTGGCAGCTAAGAGAAGATTTTCTAACTGTTAGTGTTGTCAGACCCTGGTGCAGGACCACCATTTGGTTTTAATAGCACAGATGATGGTTTTGTGATTGGTGTAATCAGAGGCAAATGGATCCACTGCAACCATCTGGGATGCTTATTTTTCAGACCATTTTTCATTAAAAAGGTCTTTCACCCACCACAATCAAAGGATACAAGGGGTCGACTTTGGAACAGATCCACTGACTCAGCGACTCTGGAAAGTGATGCTCAAAACAGGTTTTTTGTTTTAGCCCCTGGTCAGAGAAGGGCCGAGATCGTAGCCCTCTCATTGTATGACCCTATGTTGTCATTTCCTTGAAGACTAGGCTCACTTTTCTGGTGAAGAATCAAAAGGATTTGAGGCAATCCCCATCAATATCACTTAATTGTGGGTAGCAAGAACCAGAAGAAATAATTTTGTCCCTCAGAGCCCTGCACGGTTGTTGTAAACCAGATACTAAAGGAATGTTTATCTATCTGTTGTGCATCACACATTTCCTATGACTATTATCTGGTGAGTCGACCCTTGTGTTCATCATGTTAGGGGTGTGGCTAACACACTGGCCTTCCAGTCGGAGCTGACCGTCCATTGAGCACACTGATGGTGGACGCTGATCAGACTTGGCCCTTGAGGTTCAGGATTTTAACTGGAGTTTGCGATCAGTTGAATTGGTGAGCGAGAAAAATCTGAGACAGAAAATAATAGGGATGCATTTAAGGCATGCATTCCATTCGAGGTGAAGTTTTGTTTTGAAATATTTCTGTTGAATCTCAGTTCACAGTTTGCACAGTGCTTTTTTTTTGGCAGGTATTACCCCCCCCCCCCCTCAGTGTTTTCTAGTCCCAGTACTTTGAAATAAGTCCCAGTTACATGGATTCAAGGGAATGACATCAAGTCCAGCTTTAACATTTAACAATAGTTTATTTGTTGGATGCAGTTAGAAAAAGAGAACTTTTGGGTTGACCTACATGCATCTTGGATATTCTTGGCTAGATCACATTGAAACGTCACACACATCATACATTTTTAATTGCTATTAATTGCATGATTTGATTCAATAAAACATTTATGCCATTCCACATTCAGATCTTGTGTATAGATGGATTTTATTCAAACTTGTTACTAGCGTTCTTACATACAAACGGCTAATAAAAAAGAAAAAAAAGATTTAAAAAAATGATATATTAAACAAGCTCGAAAGTTTAGTAAATCAAAAACTCATTGCAGCTACAACTTAAAAATCTTCAGGCGCAGATAAAATTACCAATGAAATGATAAAGGCCAGCAGGAACCCATTAGTAAAACCATTACAAAAACTATTCAATTTAATCCTGTAGAGTGGATACATACCTAATTGCTGGAATTTAGGAACGATCACCCCTATTTTCAAAAAAGGAGACAAAACAAATCCAAACAATTACAGAGGCATCAGACTTCTTAATGGTATCAGTAAACTTTTCACCTCCATTCTTGAGCAACAGATTTTGAAACATCTAAAGGAAAAGAACACAATTGCAGAGAACAAATTGGATTCATGCACTGTAGCACCAAAGACCATTTATTTGTCCTCAAACAACTAACCACAAAATACCTAAGCAACAAACAGACTGTGTTTGCTTGTTTCATTGACTTCCAGAAAGCCTGTGATTCCATCTGGCACCTAGGTCTCTTCTGGAAACTTATCCAAAGTGGTATTACAGGTAAATTCTACAACATCATAAAATCCATTTATCTGAACTCAACAGGATGTGTTAAAGAGTCTAACAGATAGTTTCACAATTAATAGAGGCATTAGACAAGGGGATGGACTCAGCCCACTTATTTTCAATACTAGTATCTATGTAAATGACATTAAAACATCTTTAGATTTGGCTCGTAATGACTTACCAAGTCTCCCATGTCTGCTATATGCAGACAACCTCGTAGTGTTGTCCCAATCACATATCGACTTACAAAATGCCATAAATTCTCTTGAAACTTACTGTCAGAAATGGAAACTCAATATTAATATCTCTAAGTCAAAAATCGACATGTTTAGTAGGTCAAAAAAATCACAGGACAAATTCAAATTCCACTGGCATGTTGATGGGAAGGAACTTGAAAATACAAAAACATACACATACCTCGGCATTAAACTACACAAATCGAGTAATTCGTCGGAGCACAAGAAGACCTCAGAGCTAGAGCAATGAAGGCATGTTTCAAAATGAAACAAATGCTATTCTCAGAAAAACTAATTCCAATCAAAACATACTTAAGAATTTTCTTCTCAATTGTAATCTATACAAGGAGGAACGAGAAATCATGATCAAGAACATAATACTAAAAAGTAAAAATGACAAAACAATCATTGAGCTAGGAAAATTCATCCACACTTGTTTCAAATTACGACAAGAAAAAAACACAAAAATGCCAGATGCCTGAACCAACCACCAAATAATTATTTGTTTCTTTTTCTTTTCTTTACATTCAAATGTCTGTGATTTTCTTGCCAGAATAGTATTTGCCCTGCAAAATACACAGAAAAGCGATCGCCTCTTCGAAAAAAATGTTGGGGAGCGTCGCCCCTCCCAAATCATGCTGAAACCCTTTGTGTTAGCACAACATTTGCCCCTAAACATGCAGGAAATAGCGTTTCAGAGACTCCAGATTTCATTTTTTTAAGGGAGAGCATGCCCCGGATCCCCTCGTATTAAGGTCGCGCTTTCGGTGCGAGGTTGGTGAGAAGACCCCCCCCCCCCACCCTTCTGCAAAATTTTGTACCGCCGCCTCTACAGTGTCCGTCGGAACATCAAGTAACAATTACTTGGTGTATAATGAAGTAGAAATACCGGTAAATGTTTCAAGAACGAGGAGTGTTATGTATGATTATTCAAAACTAGGAGGAGGTGGCCTGTAAAATATTAATAGACGTTTAGATATTGGTTGTGCGCATGTCTTACTTTCATGCTGTGACGTGACGTGTAGCCAAAAGGTGCCTTGAGAAATGAATGAAAACACGAATAATACTCATTTGATGTCTTAAAGTTTATACTCCATTTCATATGTAAATACTAAGGCCGACATCTTGTGTACAGGGAGTTGAAATGAACTTGCTCTTATACTATATATTCACAATGCGCATGATTGTGTTTGCCGGTTGCCATAACAACATAGATCTAAACATGTTAATTGTATTCTTGTAGTAGAATTGATAAAGTTCATGACTTGTATTTAGCCATAATAGAGTCTTTTTAAAACTGATATGAACTTAACATACGTATTCGATGATATGGTCGACATTGTACACCGTACGCAAAAAAACGCAGTATATACGGGTTGAAATTTTACATCCGTCGCGTTAATATGGGTTCTTCACCTTCGAAGAAAGAAATTACCTCGACGGTGACTCTGGATGGCCACACAGAGTACCATGCAACAGATGCTGCGGGGAGCGATATGGTGGCAGCCATCGCGGCAAAAGCATCTATGGAAGATCACAAAGCTCGGATGAAAGAACACCCCGAAATATTAGAGTTACTCGCGGGATTTAAAATCGCCGTGCAAAAGATGGAGATTGCAAGCGAGGGAGAAATTACTCACGAGGTGCTGAATGATGTCACGGAGGCGGTAGAGGAATACATTGAGCAAGTGATGTACACTTACGAAACGAATGAACAGAAGCTGTTGATCGGCGACCAACTTGGATACGATGGATTCGTACAAGCCAGTATCAAGTATTGTAAAGCAATACAAAAAGACGGCACTCTTGAGAGGGACCCGGAGACAGCTAGCGCCACCATGACACTGCTGAATACGATTGCATCGCTGGCAGATCGTAGCGAAGTAGTGTGTAACCTGAGTAAGCTGGGGTTAATCGAGTTGCTACTAAATGAACTTAAACGAACAGTGCTGTTGGAGCAATATTCCACGAACGCTGTAAGTAGGTATTGCATAAATACATCTACTGTGGTACTGCATGGTTGATATTGTCACATAGTTCATCTGGCTGGCGGTTTATGCAGGGGCGTCGATCCATTCTGAAAAGTGTGGGGGACACTTTTGTGTCCGCGTAAGCGGCCAATGTCCGCGCTTGCGCGAACAGGGGGGTGTCTCAGAAGGGGGGACTGCCCTATGTTCCGACATCTCTATGTTCCGACACCACTATGTTCCGACACCACTATGTTCCGACACACAGTATACTTGTGTCAAACTTAATCTGACTAGCCGTGCGTGACCTTTTACTACCTTGATATAACCAGGATGTCCTGTGGGTTAATACTGGAAATCCAACTGTAGTGTAGTGTAGTCCGGCCATGATGCTCGAAAGTCCGTGAAGGCCGGATCTTGCATAATGTTATCGGATAATTATCAGGGAATTATCAAACAATGTTGCCCATTGTATCATTCTAATACTTCGACAATTATTT